TTAACCTAAGCTGGTAAAAATGAGCTTAGGGGGTTTTCATGCAGTTCCCCACATCTGTACCCTAGAGTTCGGAGTGGAGAAGGAACCTTGACAGTCACTATCACTGTCCTGGTTAGGTGGTCGATAATAGATCTCTACTGTTATATTCTTATTAGAGCATGGAATTACTATCCACAGAGATTCTATGAAACATGTGGATTCATTTAAGTTTTTTATTTAATTTGATTCTACATTTTCTTTCATATGTAGTGCCACTCCCTGCTGCCCCCCCGCACGACCTGTTCTGTCCTTCCAATATATTTTGTACCCTGGAATGATTGTGTCCCATTCATTGTCCTCTCTCCACCAGGTTTCTGTGACACCTATTACATCAATATCTTCCTTTAACACAAGGCACTCTAGTTCACCCACTTTATGATTTAGACTTCTAGCATTTGTGTACAAGCACTTAAAAACTTGTCATTGTTTATTTGTCTGCCCTTTTCTGATGTGTCAGATTCTTTATGTGAATGTTTCTCGTCTGATCTGGCCCATACTTTATCTTCTTCCATCCTCTCCTCCTGAGAATCTACCTAAAACCTAGAGAATCTCTATCAATAGACTCTCCTCTAAGAGAAGTCTCTGTCCGATCTACGTGCGCCTCTGCAGCAATCGGCCTTTCCCCATCTCTTAGTTTAAAAAATGCTCGGCAACCTTTTTAATGTTAAGTGCCAGCAGTCTGGATCCACTTTGGTTTAGGTGGAGCCCATCCTTCCTGTATAGGCTCCCCTTGTCCCAAAAGTTTCCCCAGTTCCTAATAAATCTAAACCCCTCCTGTCTACACCATTGTCTCATCCACTCATTGAGACTCTGAAGCTCTGCCTGCCTGCCTGGCCCTGTGTGTGGAACTGGAAGCATTTCTGAGAATGCCACAGTAGAGATCCTGGATTTCAGTCTCTTTCCTAGCAGCCTAAATTTGGCTTCCAGGACGTCTCTCCTACCCTTCACTATGTCATTGGTACCTCCATGTACCACGACCACCGGCTCCTCCCCAGCACTACACATAAATCTATCTAGATGCCTCGAGAGAGCCACAACCTTCGCACCAGGCAGGCAAGTCACCATACGGTTCCCCGGTCATCACAAATCCAGCTATCTATGTTTCTAATGATTGAATCTCCCATTACTAACACCTAGACATAAGAGGAAAGGCTAGACATAAGAGGAGACTAACTGAGATTTCATTTGGGACAGAAGGAGACAATTCTGGAGTAGAAAGATAGATTTGTGAGTCATCTGCATAGAGATGGTATTGGCTCTGTGCTCACAGAAGAGTTACCCAGACATAAGGGGAAAAGGGAGAAGAGAAGGGGGTCCAAGGACAGAGCCTTGTGGCACTTCCATAGAGTTGGGCTGGGAGGGAAGAGGAGGATCCATTGAAAGACCCACCGAAGGAGGGATTAGAGAGACAAGAGGAGAATGAGGAGAGGACAGAGTCACAAAAGCAAAGGGAGGGCAAGATTTCAGAGAGAGGAGCATGGCTGACTGTTGAAGGTGGCTGACAGGCCAAGAATAATACAAGGGGTGAAGCTGACTTGAAGCTGAAGAGGATCTAGGTTGTCATTGGAGGAGGGGAATTCCAGATAGCCATTGTAAACGGCATTTTCAGTGAGCTTAGAGATGAAAGGGCGAAGGGGCGGTAGTTAGTGAAGCAAGTGGGATTTTTAAAATGGGAGAAACTAACGCGTGCTTGTATTCTGAGGTAAGAGAACCTGATTCTCCACTGTTACATAACTTATGTAGTCACTTACAATAATTTAAAATGAGTGCAGAGTAGGTATATGTGCTACCAAATCTGAATTCCTTACACATTTACATCAGTGGTAGCTTTTTACATATACACCTTTCCCCATTTGCAGCAATGGCGTCTAGTAAATGCTTGCAGAAAGATCATGTTAGGAGAAAATCAACCCCCCAGTAGCTGCACAGATAGTCCTGGAAGATACTTACACTCCGCCTGTATTGACTTGTTACCTATGGTACAGAATTACTGAAACCAATAATTTTTATTTAGAAAGCTGGGACACCTGAATTTCATTTTAAGAAACATCAGTCTGTAAAAGTGGTTCATATTCTTCTCAGAATACAGATATTCTATTGACACGAATAGGTGTTTGGAACAAAGACCAAGGGGGAAATATGGCCCATGACTGGTTCCACACTGTAGCTGCACTTGTAGGCATATTTTCTGTTTAGTAAGTTCATTTGGAAGGCTGGTTTAGAAAACAAGATCACATCCTTTTGTTAATTTTTGGGTAGTAAATATCACTCTAAACTTGGTTCAATTAAATTGGATCCAAGCCATGCTTCTAAATTGCAATTTTCTTTCCTGAAACCTTTTTCTTTAAATACATTAATATTTATATTCCATTTCCAGCTTTAGATTTTAATCTGGATCAGCAATTGAGTTTAATAAAATTCAAAATGGAACTAAGACAATATTTATTAAAATGAGTGTAATTATCCAGTAGAACTGATTACCAAAGGAATTGGTAAATTCTCCATAATGTTGTCTTCAAATCAAGATTGGATGTCTTTCTAAAAGGTTACCTTTAGTTCCTCAAGTTATTAGGCTTTGATGAAGGAATCCCTGGATGAAATTCTATGGCTTGTTTTATGAAGGCGGTAAAACTAGATCATTGTAATGGTCTCTTCTGGTCTTTGACTCTATGTTCTTCTTAGTGTATGCGCAATGTGCCACAAGTGGCATGTGACCAGGATTCATCACTGAATGTGGTCCACCGGTTGGATCATTAGCTTCCCCCACCTGAATGCTGATCCATGCCCCACTTTGATTCTATGAACATCTCTGGTGCCTGTCTGTGGCAATGAATGGACAAAGCTGATAAGGAAATGCAGTTATAGGCTGAATTAGGAATTGTAAGGCCCACATGTACACTATACAGGGCTACAGAATCCAAGCAGCAGACCCACTTCTGGTCTTGAAGTTGAACTAATGTATTTAAGGGCCAAATTCAGTCCTAATGTAAGCAGGTATAGTTCCACTGAAAGTCATTGCTTGAATTTAGTCCAACTAGAGTAACCTCTGTGGAACTGAAGGCAGAACTGGACCCACTGTTTGCTATAACGCATCATCAGAAACACAGCCCTAAGTTCCAGTTAGCTGTGGACATATGTGTAGGGCAGCCAAACAGTGTACTCATTACACTTCATGGCAGATGCTCATCCCAATACTGGCTGCCCTGGAATTCCGTCTAGGAACCACCCAGACTCTGTGACAGAAGTCCAAGAAGGCTCGCCCACATGTTTATGAATACACCCTCCCATGCAGAATGGACAAAGGTGTGTCTGAGGGGTGAGAACAGCTCATAACTTTGAGGTGTTCTTTGTGTGCAGATTAGTACAAAAGGGTCACTTTCATATCAGTTGATGAGTCATGTAAGTGCAATTGTAATGCCAACAGACCCTGGTTGTCGGGGGTGGGGGAGGGGAATCAAACCTGGGACCTTTGGAGCTGAATGCATGAGCCTCTACTGCACAAGCTAAAAGCCAACTGGCTGTCAGCCAAGGCTGTAGAGCAGACTCATTAATCTCTCTCTCTCTCTAAGTGGTCTCCGTGCCACTAGATGGGACAGAACACCATGCCCAGGAGGTGTGTGGGTTACATACTTCCCCTAGCTGAGGAAGTGCATCAGAGACTTCCCAGATGAAATCCTGGACGAGCCCCCACTTGTAACGCTGACAGACCCCGGTCATAGTCGGGATTGAACTTGGGATCTCTGGAGCTGAATGCATGAGCTAAAAATCGTATAGCTGTTAGTTAAGACTGTAGAGCAGACTCATTAATTTCTCTCTCTCTAAGTGGTCTCGGTGCCACTAGACGGGACAGAACACCACACCCAGAAGGTGTGTGGGTTACATAATATATAAAACTTGTTGCTTAGCTGGTGTAAACATGTATGTTACATATTATCTTTTTGTTACCCCAGAGAGCCCTGAGCTAGCAATTCCCTCTATGTAGCACCCCCAAGCAAATTATTTGCACTCCTGTCTGCCAGTTTCTAGGACTAGCTCCTTCCTCCTGCTGCTCTCTCCTGCTTCTTGCCCAGCTGCCTCCTACTGCCCCCACTCCTGCATAGCTTCTTTCTGCCAATACCCATCCACCAGCAGCCAGTGGCAGAGGCTGATGTTTCCCTTTCCCACACACACAGGCTGCTTGTGAGATCATGCTATTTCCTCCACAATAGGAAAGGAAAACCAGAAATACTTACCAGCCAGGAAGGCACAGCCAGTTTGCAAAATGGCCACGTAAGGGCTGCAGGTGCTTGACTTCGCAAATTTAAAGGGCTAGCTCGAGAAAGGAACTCTGTGACAAAAGTTTCTATGAGAAGGCAACCTTACATTGGGAAGATGTAGCGGCCAGGAAATCATCAGTGAAAGGGCTGTTTTGATTCAGTGTTGTGCTAAGATCACATTGCTAGTCTATAGCTGTAGACTACTGTCATCTCTTTGCAAGCAGCCTCTACTCTGTCCATGATGGGAGTAGTAGTCTTTCCCTCCTTACAAATTTCAGCAGGGAATGGGGCCATTAATAGCCCTTGTATCTTTACATCTAAATGAAATGTAATTTTATAAAAACTTGAGACTGATTATTTGTTCACCACGTTCCTCACTCCAAAAACAAACCAAGGGTCAATCATCCAATCTCCCATCCCCATTTCCAAAAACACATAGCCTCATTTCAAAGTATTTTTTTCCTTTGGGAGATCATGTAAGTCCATTCCCAGTTCCTTGTTAACATGACCCACTTGAAAATGTCTTTATTCACACCAAGATTTCAAATGACTTCATCCCTATTTGGAGTGTGGGAAAGGGCAAAAGTCTTAACCAGTAACACAGATGATTATATTGCTAAGCAAAAAACATAAAACATGAGATTTTTTCACTCTGAAAAATGTGTAAGAAAGAGACAGAGGAGACAAAATTGAGACAGAAGGATGTCGATTTCATGATTTATTGTCACATTAAAAAAGTAATCTTACTGATGAATTAATATTTACTTTTTAATATAAAAGTGCTTATTCTTACAAATCCTTAAGGCTCATTCTGTTACATTACAGTAGGATTCTTCACCATTCCAGAAACTGTGCTACATGGGTTTTGTATGAACTGTAGAAACAGCAAAATCTCCAAACAGTAAAACAACTTGTCAATGATTTCATGATTTTTGTACATGTGAACTTGTTTAACTGTGTAACAGAGTCGAAAGCAACTGAAATCCCAAAAAACTTTGTTTTATTTTTAACCTGAAATGGAACTGATGTATTTTGCTCATTGAAATGGAACAAATACAGTTGTTTATGAATTTAATTCTTCCCCCGTGCCTCCCTTTTACAGCAAGGAAAGAGAGAGATACAGGATAGTACTGACGTAGTATTCACTTTATATTTCTTTCAAAAAAAATTTGGATGACTACCACGCACAAGCAATGTTCAGAAGCAAGACATTTATTCTTTTGAGGTCCCTACGTTGCATGTTTACTAGGCAAAACTCCCACTGAAACTAATGAGAACTTTGCCTGAGGAAGGAATGAAATAGGGCTCTCTTGAGAATCATTTGAGATTAAATGGTTTATTGTTTTTGGTCTCAAAGAGGAAGAATGGAGCAGATGAAAGCTCTTGCTGTTTGTATTAATCACATATGGCATATGATTTCTAGCATATACTATAATACACAGATACGAGTATATGATTTTTACTTTTAGTCATAATCAGCTATATATTATTTGGATGGACAGTGAATTTACTATTCCTACTTAAATTTAAAAAAATAGCTATTTACCGTAAATAATAATTTTTCCATAACTGGGTCAAAATGTAGTAGCAAATAGCCAAAAATTAATCTATCAGAAAAAAAATAATGTTAAGTCTTCTAGAATGAGGGAAAAATGCCACCTGATCTAATAAATAAAGCACTTCCAACCATTCATGAATGCTACAAGGCTATATGTACATATTTTACAGCATAAATTACTGTACAGAATATTCCCATTTACTAAATTGTTCAGCTGTGTAAACAATATTACCTGTTATACGGGGACATGTAGAGGGATTGTACTTATGTCGTGTAGGTACTAAAAAAATGCTAAATCCAGAATGCCCATTCGAAAGTTGCTGCACTATTGCTTTGGCTGTTAATCAGACAGGAGTAGAGCTAAACTGATATTGAGTCTAATAATATTATGATTTACAGGAATTTGCTGACAGTTGGCATAAATGAGATCTGGAGTTACGCTCTCTGAATCTGGGTACAAAAATAATTCTAGTCATAAAACAGGAGTCTGTACAACTAGGTCAGACAGCCACTATCGCTTACAGATTTGTTCCATGATGAACATTAGTTAACATAACGATCAGACAGGAAAGTTACTGCTACTGTGATTATTGCTACAGATTTGTTAAAAATTGCACGTACAGCCAGACTGTGGTAAAGCAATCTGTTGTTTTTGTTATCCTGTCCTCCCTCCCTCCCATTTGCTTGTTTGTCTCATACACCTGTCGTTATGTCTTATTTTTCAGAATGGAGGCTCTTTGGGGGTAGGGACGGTCATTTACTCTGTCTTTGTCACTGCCTAATGCAAAGGGACCCTGATGTGGCTGAAACCCCTAGGCACGACTGCAATACAGATGTTAATGAATAATAATAATAAATACAGAAAAAAGAAGAAAACTGATGTAAGTGACGTTGGCATGTTTTTAACAGCCATACTTTCCAACAATGGTTATAAACGAATCTAGTGTGGCCAGTATTTGCTAATGGAACTGCATAAAAAAGATCAATTCACAAATATTAAAATCAGAAGGCCATATTCAATCCTTGAGCTGTACACAAAACTTCCACGACTTGAACTGGAGTGCAACATGTGGTCTAGGGGTAGTGAACAGCCCGCTATTAATGCTCAGCTGTTCAGCACAAATGAACTCACAGTTTTGTCTATCTGGGTTTGTGCTCATGTGTCATATGATGAATCAATGACATGCCTCTCAATTTCCATAAAATGATGCAATGTACCTCTCAGTTATACTGTACAAGCATTCACATAATACAGGCCTGTGATTAAAATAGCCAACTTAATCTCTTTCACAGCCCACACAAAAGCTTCTTCTTCTGTTTATAAATTGTACTTGTATGAAGGATTAGTGCACTAGACCCTACATTGCTACACTGCAAAACACAGTAACCTTAATGGCATCAAAGCTCCCATTCAGCCCTGGTGTAACGACTGATCTTATTGGATTTGTGCCCACTTATACCAAAGCTGGCCTATGTCTAATACAGCAGTTCTCAAACTGTGGGTTGGGATCCCAAAGTGGGTCGTAACCCCATTTTAATGGGGCCACCAAGGCTGGTGTTAGATTTGCCAGGGCCAAAGCCTAAGCCTGAACCCCACCGCCCAGCAGCGAGGCTCAGGTTATAGGCTCCCCACTTAGGGCTGATGCCCTTGGGCTTCAGCTTTGGCTCCCCCAGCCTAGGGCACCGGGACTTGGGCAGGCTCAGGCTTCAGTCGCCCCTCCTAGGGTCATGCAGTAATTTTTGTTGTCAGAAGGGGGTCGTGGTGCAATGAAGTTTGAGAACTGCTGGTCAAATACATTTGAGAGCACCCTTGAGCTCATCAAGCAAAAATGTACTTTTTATATGTTTTTCTGCAATTTTTCTTAACATTGTTGCTAGTTCCCAAAATTCGCAAAGTTAGCTGAATCTCATTCTGCCACATAGGACATGTATTGACGTCTATGGCAGTTCCTCAATCACAGCATATACATAAGTCCCTTTGTATTTAAACTAGGACTCCCATTCCTCTCTTTCTTTCTATTTGATCCTGCTGAAAATTCATGATGCTAAATGTGTGACATCTAAGACCTAAAATAATAAGTCCCTGCACAGACATGACACTGGCAAATCCCAGTGATCTTTGTGCAAATTCATAAAACAGCAAGGCCCATTAAGAAAAAAATCATGACAAAATGTAAGCCAATGCATGTGTGTTAGGCCTAGGAGGTATCACCGCAATCTTCCTGCCTACAGTGCCTGGAGAGTCACATGGAGTATCCAGACTTGCCAATTCTGAGACTTTTCAGTCCCTTCTACAGCACTGCAGGGAACCCTTCCTTCAACATTTCCCATCCTGCCTCCTGGAACGGGGCAGCCAATCAGAGCTGCTGCATGTGGCAAGCGGACCTCTCCCTTTCCCCTTAGGAGACAGAAGTTTTTTGTTAGGGCTGGAGGGAAAAGGTGATACAATGGGGCTGAGAAGGAGAAGGGAAGAGAAAGAGTCCAGCGACTCAGAGGGGCTCTGCTCCCTCCTCCCCCTTCTCTTCTGGTGGATAATATGTTGGCTCCTCCCCTTTTCTTCTCCTTATCCCTGTAGCCCCAGGCCTGGGAAGTGTAAAGAAAACCTCCAGAGTGAAGGAGGTGCGCTGGGAGGAGGGAAGATGTGGGGCTGAGCGGAGGCAAAATGAACTGATGGGCGGCCGGGGGGAGGTCAATAGAATGAATTAACTCATTGGGGTATGATTTTAGGGAGGAGCTGGAAGCCCCCGTGTCATCAGCCAGCGCTTTGTGCAGATTGAAAATCTACTCGTTTTGTAACAGGATATAGGCAGGTCTAAGAATCTAGGCAATGGGGGAAAAGTCCTTATTAAAAACACAAATACTTTCAATAACAGAGAAGAGAAAAGAGTAGAAAATTACTAGCCAAATTATATTTATTTGGGTAAATTGAACCTCTTGCTAACTTCCTCCTGTGTGAAAGGTTTTCTTTCAAAGGTCTCTTGGGGTAATGAGACCAGAGTTGCAGGTAGAATGGAGCCACCTTAGGGGAAGCTATGAAAACTGATGTTGCTAAGAAAAGAAAGACTAATATGGTGGGATTATTTAGTGTGACCCAAATAATATGCAGAGCTATAGAGACACATCAGTTTATAACCTCCCCTGCTTACTGAGGTTTGAGCAGTAATAGTGAGTCCATTGCTGATCTGACTGGTAGTCATTCTTCAGAATCAAAGTGTTTTGCTATTGACCTTTAGAGGGAAATTGGTAACGTGGAGCCTGGGCATTTAACCCTGGCATTCCTATTAATGTTAATGGGAGTTGGGAGTCTAACTCCCTGTGCATTATGCTGAAAATGTCTCCCTAATTGACTTGCCATGCCAATTAACTACAGATGACTCATGGACAGATGGAAATATTTTGTGAGAGTTACATAATTCTTCTTATGCCAGATAAAGAGATTAGTCCATTCTGCAATGCGCCACTGTGAAAGACAACATTTAGGCTATGAATCTGGGGATTGGGGAAAACAAATAATTTGAACATTTATGATGCTGTTGGTTAAAGACAATAAGTTCTGAAAAAAATATTTCTTTCGGGGAAGGACAAACTGGCGCAGAGAAATTCAAAGTCCATTTGAACTCTTTGGAGGAACAGATAGTTTGGTTAACCTTTTTTTGTCCTATTTACATTTGTGTGTGAGTTGGTATGGCCTGGTTTCTACTAAGATCAAAACATAAATACTTCAAGAAGGGCTGTCTTCATGCTATTTCTGATCCAAATGAAACTAGCAAGTAATACTAATAATACTCGGCATTTTTATATAGGGTGTAATTCACCCCATGCAAAGGCCCCACACAAGGCCTATGCACCACTGCAGCCCTATTTTAAGAGCTTTAAGGATTCCTATTTTGGGGTTTAAGTGATGCAAAGGCCTTGGATTGGCCCCTTGCCCAGGAGTGAAATTCACTCACATGACTTAACATTTTACAGTGATTTTTAACACTTCTATAGCACCTTCCAGCTGAGGATTGCAAAGTGCTTTACAAAACATGAATAAATTATTAGCACCCCCATTTTACACATAGGGAAAGGGCAGCACTTTGCCTCCCTCTGTGCACCTGCCCAGAAAGGAGCTTGTGCCCTTGGAGGAAATGCCCTGTGGGGAAAAGCTGTGTAAGTTAATGAAATCCATGGTTACTTGCTTTGCTTTCCCCTCTGGGCTGTGAACCCCCCCTTTAGGGATGGGTTTTGGGTCAGTTGCAGTAGGGAAAGCCCCTGGAAACATGGGATCATCCAGGGGTTAGAAGCAGCTGCTTGGGTCAGATGGCAGAGTGGAGGCAAGGGGGTGATTTGGGAGATATTTGATATCCCCAGGTGAAGGGGGTGGGGAGATACCTGACTCCTTCCTGGCGGACGAATAATGCTTTCTTGAGAGAATATTGTGTAGAAACAGTGGGGAGTTTCAGATCTCAGGTGGATTATCCCGGTGTCTGGGGAAATAGGGATCTAAGTGACTTTCCCAAGAACTTTAAATGATCTTGAAAACAGTTTATTACAAGGTAACTAAAAAATATCAAGTGTGAAATCCTGGCTCTTTTGAAAGAAATTGAAGTTTTGCCCTAGACTTCACTGGATACGTCTACACAGCAGTGGTCCTCCCCCACCCGGTACGGGGGGAGGGACCCAGAGCCCAGGCTCCAGACTGAGCCAAAATGTCTACACTGCCCCATAACATGAGCCCCGTGAGCCTGAGTCAGTTGACCCGGACTCTGAGACTTGCAGCTGTGGGGTTTTTTTTTTTTTTTTTTTGCTGTGTAGCTGTACTCAGTGAAGCCAGGATTTTACTCTGAGAATCTTGTGTTCTCACCAGCTTTCCAGGTAGCTTTCCTGACCAAAGCAAAGAGGTTCATATGTTTAGATCAGCTTCAAATAAACATCCAGATGCTTTTCCGAATGGATTCAGATGGGGCTCACCCATTGCTATGCATGTTCCCACTCTTTAGCGCATAACCAGTGTACCAAGTCGTGTAATAATAATGATTCTGATCGTGCTCTGAGCTGGAACATATTTATAGGATGCAAGTCAGGTAATTCTCTCCATCTGAATAAGGAATCAGTTTGAGTACATGGTGTAAATCTTTACAAAAAGTTATCAAAAGGAAATACATTTTAGATCTGTGCCAGCCATACTTCTATCATCATTGTAACAAATTCATTCAGTCATTGTTAAGTGTATGGTGCCAGCAACGTGCAAGGAGATTTTATTCTTTAGTCTGAGGGTTTTCCACTGAACTGGGAGAGGGGAGTGCTGCAATCATTATAAAAAAGAAACATTTCTTTTTGACGTATTAAGTGGATTATGCAAAGACCGGACATACTGTAGAAGAGAAATGTCATTAATACAGCTTTGACCGAGAACCAGCGACCCTCCAGAAATTTTAGGAAAGTTAAAAAACACATAATTTTGACAAGATGTTCTTTTAAAAATCTTTTAAAAAGATTAAGGAATTCAGTCACTATTCTTTACATAAAATTCAACCTCTTTTGTTTAAAACCATAATCACTTAATGTCACATCTGCAACCTAGCCGTGGCAGATGTAGTTAATCTAAGTCAGTTTGCAAATTCCAATTTCATTTGGATTAAACACTGCGACTAAGTCACTCAATAGTATACACTGTATAGGCATTAAGACTGGTGTCTAGTAGTTTATCTACTCAAGAGACTTTAAGCACAGATTAGCCAGGTCTAAGTGTATGTCTTCTTTTTAAAAAAAATATCCTGACATTTTAGTTATGCAGATTTGTATCAGAGCTGTGAAAAATGGGTGAAAATTGGCATTATGAAAGATATACGACTGCACCATTCCCAAGGTGATAGTGTTACAAATTAATTAGCTGCACACTTTACCTTGATAACAATTACTGCTCTTCTGAGGTGATATGACCATTCAGTGACAGGTACTCAATGATCAATGGGAGGCACTAGTAATATCCTTTGTGCTGACTGAACTTTTTCATGGTTTAGCTATAGAGTGTATAGATATGTATGCATACGTACACTGAGGGCTTGATCCTTCACAGTGCAGGGGAAGACTGCTGCATGTGGAAATAAAGGTAAAAAGTGATGAGCAGTACCAGGAGAGCAGGGAATCTGATTCTGCATTAATGAGAATACTGCTTTCCAGGCTGCCAAGTTACTCCCAGTAGCAGAAGTAAAGCTCAGACAAGGAGCACATAACTAAGCACCAGTGTTGCACGCTGAGGGATACGGCCAAGATCCTCCAAGATACTAGGCACTTAACTCCCATTGAAATAAATGGGAGTTAGGTGCCTAAATACCTTGGAGGATCTGGGCCTACACTGAGTACCATGTCTCCTCACATGCCCAACATCTGCCTACACCCCTTCCTGTTAAACCCTGTGAGATTTAGAATAAAGAAAGGGCTGTGGAAGGGGCTTGGGATTTACCGCCATACAATATAGATGCCTTTGCTCAGTGGTCAACCATACTTGAACCTATACATATCCTCCACTCACCCTTGCACTCCCTGCTGCACATCTTACAGGATCAAGGCCAAAGTGTGTCTGAATATCTCATTGACTTGGTGTTTGTGAACATCTCAGAGTATCTCAGGACATTTTTAATGCAAAAAACCAAATTGTATTGCCTTTGGGTCTACCTGTGGCACACGTTTTATTTGATAATATTCCAGTTGATTTCCCATGCCTGCATGTACTTGTCAGCTGGTAGACTAGCTGTCTGTCACATTCAGAAGTTTCTGTTTTATACCAAACCTCTCCCTCCAAGCATAATTTTGCTTTTGAGCTGGATTTGTACAGGTTGACATCTTCACCTCTGAAATATTGAGATGGAATCTCTAATGCAAGAGAAGGGAGCCTTTATCATTCTCAGGGGACTTGAAACAATGAATTAAAACAAACAAGACGTGCCTTTGCAAGTGGCAAGCAAAGTAAGGGCCGTCTCTAAGGGTCTGATCCTGCAGCGTGCTGAGAACCCTCAGCTGACACTGAAATGCCTGGGACTACTTATATACTTAAAGGGATGCTTAGACTTAAGAGTGCATACTGGAGGATTCTCTGCTCCTTAAAGTCTTTAAACCATGATTTGAGGATGTCAGTAGCTCAGACATAGGTAAGAGGTTTTTCGCAGGAGTGGATGGGTGAGATTCTGTGGCCTGTGTTGTGCAGGAGGTCAGACTAGATGATCATAATGGTCCCTTCTGACCTAAATATCTATGAATCTATAAGAGCTTTGCTGGGTCAGGGCCCGACGCCACACAGCCCTTTTCAGGATCAGGCCCCAAAGGAATGAGACGAAGTGTCTTTGGTTATCATGCCGTACCCACCTGTAGTTGTTTGAAGAGCAGCAATCGTGACCAAAAGCAACCTGTACAAAAGCAACGTGCCTGTGGTTGAACTGCATGCTCTAACCTCATCAAAATGCCCACCTGTAAGGAGCATTGTGGACAGGAGGCCCAATTCTCTGTTGGGCTAAATGGGCGCAGCTCTATTGACTTCAGTGGAGTTTCTTCTGTTTACACGAGTTCAATGTAAGTGATTCCAGCACAAAACTTACAATCAATGTACCATTTCCGTGGCACTTGATGGGTATTTTAGCTGGAATGATTCAGCATAAAAACAGCTTAAAAGAAAGTGCACAAATCTACAAGAAAACCTTAGTAGTTAGGAAACATGTTACAATAAGAGGACATTAACTCTTCCTGAATTTCTGTGATTGCTATACACATTGCAGCCAAACAAGTTCCAAAAGAGCTCATAATTAATAAAATTTATCCCCAGTCGCAGCACAAGAGATGTGAATCAAAGTTCCTTACTTGAAACTCCAATGCCAAGTTAAAATCTGTGTAAGGCAAGGAATATATGTTGCTTCTAATTTAACTGGCATAAAATAGTGATAAGAATTCCGAAATACCAAAAAACCCCCAAACCCAAACCCCACATCTGAAGACAAATGATAAAGCAACCACCAAGAAAGCAGAAGCAAATTTAACAGGCATCCCACTTCTCCCACATTGCTATCCTAACAGAACCAAATTACTCACGGTATTAAAAGGATTTAAATCACTTCCTCATCTAGGAAATCACTGGCCGACTTTCCCAACCAGACATCAGGCAGGTAATAATCAGCTAGGCACTGACCAAGTTACATTCCAACAACTGTAACTGAATGATTCGTATTTTTTCTGCAACATGCAACAAAGTGAAATCTGATGACATGACATTGAGTATGTCTGCACTGCAGCAGGAGGTAATTTCCAGCTCAGATAGATGTACATGCACTAGCCTTGGTGGAGCTCGTACACTCAAAAGAGCAGTGTAGCCGTGGCAGTGTGGGCTAGCTGCCAGAGTATTTACCTAGGGTCTCGGATGGGGTTGCTGCCTCCCATTCTGCAGCTACACTGCTATGTTGATAGAAGCTAGTGCGTGCACGTCTACCCACACTGGACATGACACCTGCAGCGGCGGTGTAGACATACCCATTGTCTTACCGCAAATCTTTTAATGTGGTAACAAACTAAATTCAGTGGCGGAAAGCCCCCGCGCCCCGACCCCACTTCCAGGCAGCAGCGCCAGGCGGACAGGGCAGGGGCGAGGGAAGCATCCCCATTCCCCAGCAGCCGCGCTGGGCGCGGCAGCAGAGGAAACCCCCTGCGACCCCAGACCCCACTCCCTAGTGGCAGTGCCGGGCAGGTGCTCTGGCGAAGGAAGCCCCCAGTGCCCCTCAATCTTGGCAGAAGCCGGCTGTCCACAGGGAAGCCCCCAGCGCCCCCTGATCCCATTCCCGGCAGAAGCCGGGGGGTGGCAGGGGAAGTCCTGCTGCGGTCCCAGGACTGGAGGAGCTCTTGCTACCTGCTCTGGCCTCAGGGCTGGGGAAGATCTCACTCCCTGCTGTGGCCAGAGTGTCTCAAGTCTTGGGGCCACAGTGTGGGGGAGTGCAATGGGGAGACCCTGAGTGGACTGGCAGGGGAGGGAGGGAAGGGTCATAAAGGGGTGGGGTCACATATGGAGGGGGCAGAATGGAGGTGGGACCACAGGTGGAAGGGGTGAGATGTGGCCCCCCACTTGCTCTGGCCCAGGGCCCCAGGAAACTTTAATCTGCCTCTGGCTAAATTATTTGATGTGTGGTTTCTAATGCAACTCATCAGACATGTTGATATGTAACTTTTACTGGCAGATATTTTTGCACCAGCATCACACTAATATTGAGATAAAGCTGACTAGAAGGTAGCAATGAAGATGGCCATTCATTGACTCTTACTTGAGCAATGCAACTGAAGTTAATGTAGCTACTCGCATGAGTAAAGGCTAGAGGACTGGGTGCAAAATAACCAATAAAATTACATTTCAGATGAAAACAATCAAATGTTTCCAGAGAAGTGAAAATGAAATTAACCAAGAACAAAAATCCACTAAATGCACACAACACATTAGTTATGAACTGGCCATGGCCTCAGCTGATCCAAATTAATTGCAATTACTTTGGGATAAATTCCCTTGGCACAAAAAACACAGCCTGTCAACAAGAGCTGAAAACACCCCATAAATCAAGAAACATTAAAGCCTAGTGGAGGATTATGCATGACGAGTGAGAGGATTATGATAGGAAACAGTGCTTAGTCTGGTGAGCAGCAAACCCAGCTTTCCAAGATAAAGAGAATTTCATGTAATGGCATGATATAGACTAGAAGAAACTGCAAGTAAGCTACTTTAAGATGGAAAAGACATCAAAACCAGAGCCAGCAAGGTGAAGCCTCACTGCACACAGCAAACAAATGTCATTGATGTGTGTGTATGTGTGTGCACATATATGCACATGCAATAAATGACAGGTTTCAGAGGAACAGCTGTGTTAGTCTGTATTCGCAAAAAGAAAAGGAGTACTTGTGGCACCTTAGAGACTAACCAATTTATTTGAGCATGAGCTTTCGTGAGCTACAGCTCACTTCATCAGACTGATGAAGTGAGCTGTAGCTCACGAAAGCTCATGCTCAAATAAATTGGTTATGCAATAAATGGACTTTCTTTGCTAGCTGGGTTACAGTTTGCAGTATTTTTGTGTTATCTTCTTGCCTGTAATGACAGTACACAATTTTCCAGAATCTCTTCTAGTTTCTTGTTATCAATACACCCATTTTTCAGACTGTTTCCTCGATAATGTTCATTATAGTGCATAAGGAGGCTGAACAAGAGGTCAGGTAATTTCAAAAGCCGAGAAATAAAGAAACGAATGCAAGCTGTTGAAACTTATTGCACAAAAGTTAATGCTTTCTTGCTCCATATTTTTTCAGTCTACACAATTCAGCCATACATCCCAATCAGGAAATAAGAGGGAAATAAGAACACTGAAAGTTCTATGGAGCATCCAAACGGCCAGTCAGACTCTCATTGTCCCTAATTCAGGAAAGCATTTAAGTGCATGTTTAAGTTCTACTGAAGTCAATTGCATTTAAGCACATGCTTAAAGTTAAGCACACACTTAAGTGCATTCCTGACTGGGAGCCATTGTGTTTATTGCACTTGGTTCAATTAACTCATGAGATTTTGGTTTCTGAGTTTTTCTAAGCACAGGTATAAGAAATGTGTGTGTGTATTAAGACATCTGTGGTCAGTTCTGTCTAGAGTATGACAATGTTTGGAGATTGCTATGGAACAATGCATTCTGGAGAGACATAGCTGCATATTATACAGACACAGATATATGTCTACACTCTGAAAAATGTTGTTCAATGTTGAAGAAATATTCACCTTTGTTTGGATGCTATGGTTGATTATTTCTGTAGCACAGTGTCCAGAATAACTGAATCGTCCATGGGAGATTATGCAGTTCATTTGAATGGCACACAGTCTTTTGCGTGAGCACTATTCCGTACCCAGTGAAGTCCTTGTTGAGTGTACTGAACTAAATGCTCCATACTGCTGTGTAGGGTGACAGGTCCCATCAATGCATCCAACTCATTAAAAAACTCTGTGGAAAAAATATTAAGCGTTAGAATAATGAAAGTGACATTTGCTATTTATCACAATGTAGTAGCTAGTTTCTTTTACTAACTAAATCACACTGAACATTTTACTAAAATGGAAGTTTGGGGTGAATGAGTGTCCTTAAGGCCCCGATGGTCCATGATCTGAGTGTTGCAACAATTTCATTTTAAAAATTAAACAGCTAATTCCTTGGTTCTTTCTTTCATTGACTCCCATTGATCTCGTGTGTAAAAGGATGTTTTGCCAATGGTGTCCTTATAAAGATAAAGAGACATCATTTGTAGTTCAAATGCACAAATTATCCTGACTGAAACACTTTTCAAAATGACTGAGGCCAGGCCAAATCTTGAGGTTTTTACCCAGGCAACTCCTACTTAAACCATGAGGGAACTTTGCCTGAAGGGGAACTAAATAAAAACTGACGACCCCTAGGTCCTCTCTAAGTCTATATGTGGAGGAAAGTCTGCACTTGCAGGTGAAGGGAGGGGTTCCTTTCCTCTGGCCTGGTCCAACCGTCATGTCACACAGCCCCTTTGAACCTCCATCCCATGCAGCTCCATGAAGTTGGAGGGGGTGAGCAACAGAAGCTGCTTTGTCTCCTCCAGATTCTCTCCCTAAAACTCATGGGGGACATAAGTGGAAATGAATTCAGCCTGCAGCCATATTATTATCTTCTGCTATTGCCCCTGCTCCACTGAGGGTGGAGTCTGGAGGAATTGATAGTTGGGGAGGTCCCTGGAAGCACTGCTCCTGCAAGAGCCAGGCTGAGCAGGGGCCAGCTGGAGTTGGTAGGGCCAGATGGCATAGCATAGGCAAGGAGCATCCATGCTGCTTACCTAAGTCAGAGATAGGAGGTGAAGCTGTGTTTCTCCCCCACCAACTTTAAACCCTGATTATACCAGTGTAAAGCTGACGTACTCAGACTAGAACTTGGCCTTGTATGTTTATCCTGGTGCCATGTAAATACACCAATGATCTAACTGTCCGTGCCAGAGCTAAAGTGGAGTAGTGGGACTTAAACCACAGATATTTACGCCGGGTCTGGATACTCAGAGGGGGGGTGTTCTATGTGTCCACAGACACGTAAGTCCTACAATGAGTCCTATACGTTAATGCCTCAGTCAATACATGCAAAAAGATGAGGTCATGTAGGAGTCATCACCACAAGGGAATGTCATCAGTGCACTTGATTAGTTTTCTCTTGTAAAACAAGAACAAAAGACCAAAGAGATCCATTTCTGTAGCTCTGCCACAAAGTAGTGCAATACTGCCCAGGAGAAGGAGAATTAAATGAACTCAAAAGATCAATTTAATTCCTGTTTGACTACCAGATGTCTGTGAGTCAGTTCCTGGAAAAGGGTGAGAGTTGGACAGTCAAATAAAGGAGAAATTAGCGATATTTGACCTCTTCTGAGTGGGAATGCTGACAAAACTGTTTTTGTTACCTTTTGGGACAGACCATGAATAGGCTAAAAGAATACACCTCTGTAATCCAGAAGGTAAGATCTTCCAGTAGGACCACTGTCATAGTAGGTCAATATATTGTCTTATTGGCATGTTTTTAAAGGACATGTGTTACGTTATGCACCTCTATTTTCCTTGGCTAGATTGTCAGCCATCTCCCAGTAGTCATAGCTGTGCAGGATGCTGTTGGTGACACTGACGTGATTGGCTGCCATCTGATGAATACGCTGTGGAATGCTGATAGTGGAAGAGGGGGAAGGGGCACCGGTGCTCCCCTGGGATCCTACAGAGCTGACGGGAGAAGGGCTAGGAGACATGGGGGATGGAGTTCCTGTGCTCCTGTAACAGAACATTGATATATATAACTGTACATATATATATGTAAAGGTGACATGAACAAACATGAAAATAACAGAACATAGCAAACGCCATTTCTCACTGCTATTCAGACATAGTTTCTGTGCGATGAGTGAACTTACTTTCCACTGGCACCCCATGGAGATGGAGCCTGGGCAGCTTTTGATGAATTCTGTAGAACGAACAAAAAACCCCATTTACAAACCTGTAATTTAAACAGGACTGCGAAATGAACGTTGACAAAGAGAATGTAAAGATGGGGTGCAAAAAGTAGCAGTGATAAATATGAAAGGTGTATGCAGGTCTTATGATGCCATAAATCAATTAGGCCAAATTCAGAGACGGTACAGACGGTGATGTCAGGGAGACTCCCTTACATTCAGTGTGAGGTGATAAGTCTTCCCTGAACTAGAGCCTGATTAAGCCATATGCGGGGATGAGTCATTCCTGTGTTAGGCTCCAGTCAATCCACAAACCAGGAGCTGGTCTTGTGACTCTCAGAGTGGGTATATAAGCCTCACAGGAGAAACAATAGCTTCATAGCTTGGAACTCTTCTTTGCCTGACAGTGGTGACAGACTCCACAGGCCTCAGCCTGCTCCAGTCCTAGCCTTACCCCAGTCTTGTCCCCAGTCCTGCTCCCACCCTGCTCTTACCTTGTTACAACACTGCTCTTGACTCCTGATTCTGGTTCTGACTCTTGGCTCCAACCCCCAGACCTGACTGTCCTTGCCTTGGTTTCAGACATTCATTTAGATGCAGCAAGATCTCTCAAAGCTACTTATGTCCATCCTGCTGATGTGTAAGGGAGTCTAAGAGCAGGAAGAAGGTGGGAGACACTTACAACTTAAATTAAAATAGTCTCTGCCCTACTTAGTTTAGACTCTGTTAGACACCAGTATGATGAGGGAAGTTGCTCTCAGAAAGTGTAATTGAGTCTAACTTACGGCATCTTCTCCATCGCCACTGATTCGCCTGTGGGCTTTGTTCTGCTTTCATGACCCGAACTGAATCTCTTATTTTCTCAAAAATTTTTAACTCCCAAATGTCTGTGGCTTCTTAAAATTCTCTGCTTTATTAATTTTTTGAAAATGGAAATAAAAAGTTTAAAAGAAGATTTAAATAATTTTTCTTTTCTAAAAGAAAAAGATACCAAATTTACACCAAAAATGTGTGTGACAAATTCTGATCTATTTTCTTATTTGACAATACATCTGAGAGTTTTTTAATGCAGTCAGCATGTCATGTTAAATGATTTTGAAAGGTTTTAGGTACAAATATATGAAAGAAGTCTAGAATTGGCTTGTTTTCCACTGAAAGGATGACAAATGAGCAATTTTTCATTTTTTACTTTGCTTTCTAATGAGAACCTGCAGAATTATTATACCAGCAGAAGCCCTGCAAAAAACCCCAAGCTTTTCTTGTAGGATGCTTATGTTACTATAATAAAAAATAAATATCACCTTTGTTTTCTGTAGAAAGCTTTCTTTCTTCTGTTAAGAGACATTTCACATGGTTGTGAGACTGAATTTCCAATTTTTACTATGTGTTATTTGAATTGGTAGGAGAAGTACAGTGTTACAATATTTATAGATTTCTTACCAATAGACTAAAGATGATTATTAGACAAACACAAGTTTAATTAAATATTCCTCAGAGTTTAGATCCAATTTTGAGGACATCTATTTCAATTTCATAGTAAAAGATTTGTCACCTTTCCTGCCTATTTTCATGGGTTTATAATTTGGTCATGAAAATTTGTGCCTCTACTTAAAGTTCATCATTAACAAAATATTTGTGCTGGGGAGTTTTTTCCATTTTATGTACAGGACGGGACAACCCCTGCCCTCTCCTCCCCAAAATAAAAAACATACTAAAATACCCCAAACCAAATGACTACCTAGGGTACCCAAAGAGAATCAGGACTGCAGAGCATTTGTACCCTCACTGCTCTCTGATTTTATATCTCAGGATATAAAAACAAATTGAAGGGTAGAAGCAGCCACCAATTTTTTTTTTCAGAGAAATACAAAGATTATGTTTGTAGGCCAAATATTTGACCTACTCTGTTATAGATCCATCTGGAATGTTTTGATTTCCAGATGTTTTCCAATCAAATATTGTCACTTTAGGGAACATTTTAAAAATCTAATGACTTCCTGTCATACTAAAAATAAAATAGTGCACTGCATTATGAGAGAGTGGCGAATTGAAGGGAATATCTGGGGAAAACAAGATAGGAAGTGGAGGCAAGCACAGGTGTGCCAAGTTGGTGGCAGGTATATATTCTGACCACAGATATACTTGCATGCACCTCCCACTGAAGCCAATGTGGACTCCAGCCCAATACCTTAGGGAAGAATTTATCCCTTTGCCTTTTCTTATACGCTGATGTCCATAAATAGGAATCCTACAAGTTATTCCAAATATGGAGCGAGCTCAAAGTCCCGAACCCATACGAAATCTACCTTGTGGTGCATCCTGAAGTGGATTCTGATTGTGAATACTGTGAAACTTATTCGTTGCAGAGCACCATGAATCACACTGGACAATCAAGAAAAAAGAGAATGGGCTGCATGTGTCAGTTTCATGGCAGGGTGAGTTGCTCTTCCTTCAGTAAGTTGTAAGTTGTGTATGCTGAATACATGTGCTTTTGTGAATATAGAATAACAACCTGGAAATTAACGGCTTCCACTGAGGCCTGTGACAAAACTCCAGTGGGAGTAGGATTGGGTCCAACAGGGCTACTCTTTTGGAAAAGATGCAGTATCTCATATCATTATTAGCAATTTGAAAATGTAATATAGTATGAAAGTACCTTGAAATAATCAATAAGTGCTTTTGAATACTTTACAGCGTGGTCTCTTTTGAGTCGGAACATTCTCCAGTACAGAAGTGCCAAACAGCGATAACTAGAAGAAACAGAAAGGAGACAACATGTAAAATGTGTTACAGCACCTTTAAAGCACAAAGGTGGCACCTAATCTTGGGGACATATGACCCAGGAATAGACTAGTCAATGGAGAAGATAAGAGCTGTCTCAGGCTTATTCATGTTAGATGACTATGACCTCAAAGGACGGACTCTTCAAATAGCTGGAAACTGCCAGGGAACAAGGATGCCCCTAACATGTCTACATTTCCCTAGTCACACGCCTTTCCTGAGGTAATATAAAAGCTGCTAAGAATACTCTCTTCTGCCTGAGGATTCCTGTACAAAGCACATGCTAAGCAGCAATAACTAGAACAAACGGGAAGCACAGGGGAGGATCTGGCCCATTGTCTCAACGGTTTCTGTAGAGCACCGTGCACCTTTATAATACCATATAAATAAATAAGCAATAATAGTAATTAACAATAATTATACAGTCATAGAAATGTAGAGCTGGAAGACACCTTAAGAGGTCATCTAGTCCAGCCCCTTGCACTGAAGCAGGACTGAGTGCACCTAGACCATCCCTGTCAAATGCTTGTCTAACCCGGTCTTAAAAACCTCCAATAATGGGGATTCCACAATCCTCCATTTTGCAGGGATTCCACGTAACACACATAACAACAATAACTGATAAATAAATAATACATACAAAATGCTTGATCTTCTCCATCAGGTTTTTGTGTATTCACAAGATGGGGGATTGCTCAACAGTATGTAACACAACAAAAATCAGTGACACTTGTTTTCATTTGGTCACAGAGGCCAAGATTTTCAAAGGTTATTGGTGTTTTGGATGCCCACTTTGAGATACCTTAGAGCATCCTGAATTTCGAAAGTGCTGTCTTCTCACCCTCTGATAATCTCACCTAATTAAGCTTCATTGTGCAGCCAAAAATCAAATCAAAGCACTCAAAATCACTAGCCACTGTTGCAAATCTCAGCCAGGGTTGTTGTAATTCACTTTCATAGTGTTTTCTTTTTTTAGATCTGCAACCTTGAAAGTTTGAAATTTCCTCTTTTACCACTAGAGGACAGTCTTTTCTTAGGAGATCAGAATCAGATAAACTAGTTGTGTGGCAGTATGCCCAGTTTGCATTGTACAGAGCCAGAGGATACAATGGACTTACAGTCCTCATAATTCTCACTCTGCCACCTTCATAGGTTACAGTACATATGCAAATGATGTCAACTCATCTGCTACGTGGCAGACAATGAGTTAGGGTTGCTATGCAGTGCTGAAGGAGTGCTCTGCCTACTTTCCCTTGCTGTGACCTTTCTGCTTAAACAGATGCAGTGGCTTTATGAATCTGAATTAAATTCCACAGACTAAAATGCTAGGTCCGTTCTGGAAAACACTTTACAAGCCCCAGAAATAGACATGGTCAGCTATTTTTAAAAGCAATTTTTAGTCGTTTTCCCATTTAAGCATTTTTAAAACAATTATTGTTAATCTTACTTGTGCACCCAATTGTGCATTAAAGCAGTGACAAAGGACATATAGTTAATTAAAAATAGATCACTAAATAGTCTTTCTTTTTTATATAAAATGATAAATTAAGATTGCTTAATTTATAGATTCTAAATACACATTTAATTTGGATTTTTATAGATGTTAAGAATAGATAAACTGTTGTAAAACCCATTTACTAAGAATCCATAACCATGTAATAGATATTGTACATGTTAACTATATAGTTGTTAAAATTTAAATTTAATTTAAATAACATTATTATTACTGTTCAGCAACTTTTTACAGAATCTAAGTTAAATGCATATATCTGGGAATAGTCATTCAAAGAGTTCATCCAAATTGTTTAATTATCAACATACTAACCCTTCAGACAATATGAGTATAATTTATGATGATTGAACCTAAAATGTTATACACAGAAGAAATTACTGAGACGCTGTTACAAGGAAAGTACATCAGTCATAAAAATACAGACCATCAGGCACTTAAAAATTAATTACGCTGACGTGCCATAGCTGACCTGTCACAGCCAATAAATCTGAATTGCTTATTTACAGAAACAGAACGCAGACCAGGCAGTAATACAAGGAAAAACATGTGACACTGGTCTAGATCTTCTTGGATCAGGAAATATTCTCTCTCTGTCAACAGACAACACAAAACCAAAGTCCTCTATCTGACTGCACTAAGCATTTGATTTTCAAGGACTGACTCACTGCATCAAAGAAGTCTTTGAGTAAATATTGATGTACTAACCATAATGCTGCTAGCTGTTTGTCCTCTGGAGTGGCATTAGGTCCTGTGTGGGTTTTTAGTCTCACAGCATACCTTAAAAAAAGGGGAAAAGCCGGCATTAAGGCCAGTGTGTGTTAACAGGAGACCACCTTACTGTTGGGTCACATCCTCATGGAGCTGTCCCGATTTACACCCGTTGAGGACCTGCCCCATTACGTTTATTCTTTCAGTTATCACAGATACATTTTGTGCTCTTCAGTTCATGCTTTCGAGCCATTCTGCCATTAGCTCTCTCTCCCTCCCAGCCTAATTAATTCTCTTCAGCCAGCAGTAACTCCCTTGGAAATCCATACAATATTAAGGGGATCCGGCTTTGGAGAGTTATTGCTCCTTGGTTTGCCTTGTGTAGTCCTCCCAAAATATTCTCCAGCCCTGTGGAACCCCTATTTTGCAGAGTTCATGCAAAAAGGCTTCCACAGAATTTGAGGGCAGAAGAGAACGTATCATGGAGCCAGTGCTCTCCTCACACAGCAAATTTTGGGCTTGTCTCTCCAGTTTTGCTCCTCCAAGCACTGAGTAGCAGAGGGCAGCATGTGGCTCACTGCTATTTTGGTCCTATGACATTGTTCAAATTCTTCAAAGATCTACAGTAGTAGCATTGCTATTTCAAGAATGTATGTGCTAACCAGCCAAATCAATTCCTGGAAATCTCAACTTCTGGTTTAGCACCTGAGCAATGGACAAGATTAGTGCAACATACAATACCTCTGGGCTTGCTTCCAGAAGAATACATGTTCCCCGTAATTAGCTGATTGTATTTCATCTTTGTAATCAAACTCTAATTCTGACATCAGTGCAAATGCATTGTGTGCATGATAATCCACACCTTATTTCAATAAACACTTGTCCTGATAAACCAGTTACTTTTTTGGACTATACCTAGCAGGCAGCTCATAAACAATTTACTTTATAACTATGAAATCCTAGCTACATGCATAGATGGAGCTCTAAGCAAAATTCAGGGCCAGAGTCAGGACCGTAAATATACTGTAATTAGAGAAGACAAAGCAGACAAAGAAGGGCAACTATGCTGCTTGTGATGGTGCAGGTCAAAGGGGGTGGGAATAAGTATAGAGAGCTTTATAGTGGTGAGCAAAAGGTATTTTATCTTATGTCATTCCTTCGTGTCAGAGTCAGCTGGCTGAGCTGGCTTTACTGCAACTAAAAAGCATAAGAAGTGAGCCCAAACTGGGACCACAATACAGTAGAATTGTTTACACAAATGAGAATATGGTCAGATCAGCAGAGAAATCTGGAAGAAAACACTTGTTTTAAAAGTTTTGCAGAACTATGATTTTTAAAAATATTAAACTTTGAAAGTGAATTTAGTGCTGGTGAAAGCTGCTTGGCTGACTGCCCTGGGGAATTAAATTCTCTATCTGCAGAACAGGTATAATGTGGTCACTGGCAGTGCAAATTTTCTTTGCCAACGTGCCTTAATTCTGTTCTGGATGGACCACTCTTTGGATGAGAGAATAGCTCAGACTCCGTGATGATTCAATCTTTGCCTTTTTTAGCTGAGACTGTTGATAAGGAAGCCTGTTGATGTCAGCTTTAATAGGGGAAGAGGGTTGTGGTGTGCATGCTTGTCCAGCAGGAACTGGATTGCGATTACCAACATATTTCACATAGACCAAACAACAGCAATGGGATTGTATTGATCTTCAGCCACTACCAATCTGGGTTGGATTAGAACTGATGGCCAAATGGTGGAAATTCCATAATCACATTATCAACCTCCTTAGGCACTGAGTTCCCCAAATGATGAATATTGACTGTTGTAGTTTGTTTGTTTTTGTTTTTGTTTTAAATATTTCCATCTGTAATTTCTACCCATGTTTAAAGGCATTCAGGTATGTTCTCCTCCTGATGGAAAATATATCCAAACAGTGCTGTTGTTCCATACAAGCTTACCTGATAAGTTCAACTGTTTCTGAATACATTGTATAAGGGGATTTAGATTCCATGGGGCCTTGTTCCATAGCATTTCCACATTCAATAAATGATAATGCTGCTTCAGCGTAATTCAGCGCCTTTCCAAATTTCTCCACCTGGCAGATAAAATAAGGTCACAGAGAAATATTGGAGTCACCAAACTATGGTTACAAATTGTAGCAAAACAAGTTACACATAGGTAAGGTTGATGCCAGCTGACACAAAACATCCCTTCAAATTCTAAAAGACTTACAAATATGGCTGTGAGGAAGCAAACACCACAACAACGAAGAAAGCTAATGCCAAGGGAATTTATGACGGAGGTTGAGCAAACTGGTTTGGATAAAATAACAAAAGCAGCAGCAAAAGGAGAAAAAAGAAACAAAGAAAAATATAACAACCCAATAGGCATATCACTTATCATGCTTGGATGTAAATACAATCTTTCAATGCTAAACAAAGAAAGGTAATGACTAGCCTGTAACTAAGAGAAATAAGGAGCAAATGGTTGGACATTTTTTTGAGTTCTTGGCAGAGAGCTAGAGGAAAATAATTAAGGAGGGTAAGATTTAAAAAATCATTATGAGGATGAACTTTTGCCCAAAATACAAACTAGACCTGGATCAAAGCTCTGAGGTTTTAACGTATGAAGTTATTCTTAGCTCCTTTTCTTGTCCAGATTTTGCATACATTTGCACTAGCTGGTTTCTGTCAAGATTCAAAAGGAGATCTATCAAAAGATTGCAAGAAAAGCTGTCCTTCAGGTCCTTCCAACCCATTCAGCACTAGGAAACACCAGAGAGTTTACGAGATAGCCTGTACTTGTAAGAATTCCTACCTAATTTCTAGACTAAAGGGTTTTAGATATGTTTGCACAAGCTTTAGATGTGCAGACTTTGGATTCAGGCTTATTCCAACTGCCTAACACGATGGCTTCGCCTACACTATGGCTACATCTACACGATAAGCGAGGGATGTGATTCTCAGCTCGCATAGACTTACCTGTGCTAGCTCTCATCTGAGCTAGCATGCTAAAAACAGTAGTGTAGCTGTGGTAGTATGGGCAGCAGCCATGACGGCACCATGCTAACTGCCCTGAATACAAACCTGCCTGAACCTTGTGGGTATGTACTCAGGGCCGCTAGTGTAGTGCTGACAGACCCCGGTCGGCACGATCAAACTGGGGACCTCTGGCGCTTAGTGCATGAGCCTCTACCGCATGAGCTAAAAGCCAACTGGCTGTCAGCCAAGGCTGTAGAGCAGACTCATTAATCTCTCTCTCTCTCAAAGTGGTCTCCGTGCCACTAGATGGGACAGAACACCATGCCCAGGAGGTGTTGGGTTACATACTTCCCCTAGCTGAGGAAGTGCATCCTGAGCTTCAGAGACTTCCCAGTTGAAATCCCGGATGAGCCCCCACCTATAATGCCGACAGACCCCGGTTGTCGGTGAGCGGGGTCGAACCTGGGGCCTTTGGAGCTTAGTGCATGAGTCTCTACTGCAGGGGTCCTCAGACTTTTGTACTGGTGACCCTTTCACACAGGAAGCCTCTGAGTGCGACCCCCCTTATACATTAAAAACACTTTTTTATATATTTAACACCATTATAAATGCTGGAGGCAAAGCGGGGTTTGGGGTGGAGGCTGACAGATCGAGATCGCCCATGTAATAACCTTGCGACACCATGAGGGGTCCCGACCCCCAGTTTCAGAACCCCTGCTCTACTGCATGAGCTAAAAGCCACCTGGCTTAGCTAAGGCTGTAGAGCAGACTAATTTTATATCTCTCTCTAAGTGCTCTCGGTGCCACTAGATGGGACACAACACCACACCCAGAAGGTGTGTGAGTTACACTAGCACATGCCACTGCTACCACTCTCCATGACACCGCCAAGCATACTACCCTACTATTTTTAGTGTGCTAGCTAAGATGAGAGCTAGGACAAGTATATCTTCATGAGCTGAGAATCGCCCCCCAGGTCACAGTGTAGATGTAGCCTATGAGGTATTCTGGGGCCTTCACTATAGCTATTGTTTTTCTGTGGAAGGCTCTCAGAAGCCACAGTGATGGGTAGCAGTATAAAACCCTAAAATGAGAGACGGACATTGCCACAATGATATTTTTATTCATTTTAAAGAAATTTTAAAGATAACAAATATGGGAGGAGAATACAAACAAGGTTCCTGGTGAAACACTATCAAATAATAATCATTGAGGGACTGCTCCATTACAGGAGAAAGATGGACAAAATCAGAAAGGTCCAAAATAGAAGAAAGGAAAGGCAACCTCTACAGAGAATTCAGCATAGAAGCAGGAGGATTAGTGACGAAGAGAAAAAAAAACAAGATATAAATATTAGAAAAGTATAATAACCCAGTCAGTAGGTCGTTTATCAGCCACATTGGCATTAAGTCAAGAAAGGTAATGATTACTCTGTAACTTGGAAAAATAAAGGCCATGACCAAGAACCTAAATAAGGATGGTACCTCCTGTAGGCACCCAGTTCTGAAAATCGTGGCCTATGCATCCTGAAACTTTCCAAGTTCTTGTCAGAAGAAAATAATCAAGGAGTCTATAGGGAATATAATAGTCTAGGGTTCTAGAAAATAACTGTCAGCCAGATTCTGGTCTCATACTAGTGTGAAATCAGAACCAGGTTCAGTACCTTTAAAAGTTCTGCGGGGTTATTCAACAGCAATGATCTCATCTGAAATCCTTCTTTAGCTTCCTCCTCACTGACTTTTTCCTACATATACTCTGGTCTGGCTTCTGCCCTCTCTGTTGCCCGATCCAGGTCACTATTGACTTTCTCCCACTAAAGGGTTCATCTGTATTCTCATTACTCTTTATCTACTGCCGCCTTCAGCACAGTCAATCACTCTCTCCTCCTGACTTTCTGCCCTCTTTCGGCTTGCGTGATTGTGCTTTCCACGTTTTCCTCCTCTTTATATGACTGCTCCTGCAGACTCTCCTTCAGTGGCTCCTCAAATGCCCAATTCCTCTTCTCTGTTGTTATTCTTTGGAGTTTGTGTCTTCAGTCCCCCCCTTTCTTTCTCTCTAGACACCCTCTGCTGGCTCCCATGATTTCAACTACCACCTCGACATGGGCGAATCCTAAATCTACCTCTCTGCCCTGACCCCTCTTCTCTTCCATCAGAATCCAGGTGGAAAAAAGGTTGTAGAGAGCCATTAGTATATTCAACTCATCTAGTTGAAATCTATTGCACAAAGTGAAAGACTAGTTGATCTTATTCCTTTCTAAGGTATTAGGCTTTGGAATGGTACATTGGCTCCAATCTCTCTTAGGTACTTATATAGCCCCACTGCTGTAGTATCTGAGCACTTCACAATCTTTTTAATATTCTGACCTTCATGACACCCCTGTGAGGTAGGGAAATGCTATTATCCCCATTGCACAGCTGAACGGAACAGAGCCGGGGAACCGAAGCACAGAGAAACAAAGTGACTTTCCCAAGGTCAAGGAGTACTTGTGGCACCTTAGAGACTAACCAATTTATTTGAGCATGAGCTTTCGTGAGCTACAGCTCACTTCATCAGATGCATACCGTGGAAACTGCAGCAGACTTTATATATACACAGAGAATATGAAACAATACCTCCTCCCACCCCACTGTCCTGCTGGTAATAGCTTATCTAAAGTGATCAACAGGTGGGCCATTTCCAGCACAAATCCAGGTTTTCTCACCCTCCACCCCCCCACACAAATTCACTCTCCTGCTGGTGCTAGCCCATCCAAAGTGACAACTCTCATACGCACCAACAACCACATACCACACAACAGAACCACTAACCCAGGAACTTATCCTTGCAACAAAGCCCGTTGCCAATTGTGCCCACATATCTATTCAGGGGACACCATCACAGGGCCTAATAACATCAGCCACACTATCAGAGGCTCGTTCACCTGCACATCCACCAATGTGATATATGCCATCATGTGCCAGCAATGCCCCTCTGCCATGTACATTGGTCAAACTGGACAGTCTCTACGTAAAAGAATAAATGGACACAAATCAGATGTCAAGAATTATAACATTCATAAACCAGTCGGAGAACAGTTCAATCTCTCTGGTCACGCAATCACAGACATGAAGGTCGCTATCTTAAAACAAAAAAACTTCAAATCCAGACTCCAGCGAGAAACTGCTGAATTGGAATTCATTTGCAAATTGGATACTATTAATTTAGGCTTAAATAGAGACTGGGAGTGGCTAAGTCATTATGCAAGGTAGCCTGTTTCCTCTTGTTTTTTCCTACCCTCCCCCCCCAGATGTTCTGGTTTAACTTGGATTTAAACTTGGAGAGTGGTCAGTTTAGATGAGCTATTACCAGCAGGAGAGTGAGTTTGTGTGTGTATGGGGGTGGGGAGGATGTAAGAAAACCTGGATTTATGCAGGAAATAGCCCGACTTGATTATGTAAAGAGTTGTCACTTTGGATGGGCTAGCACCAGCAGGAGAGTGAATTTGTGTGTGGGGGGGTGGAGGGTGAGAAAACCTGGATTTGTGCTGGAAATGGCCCACCTGTTGATCACTTTAGATAAGCTATTACCAGCAGGACAGTGGGGTGGGAGGAGGTATTGTTTCATATTCTCTGTGTGTATATAAAGTCTGCTGCAGTTTCCACGGTATGCATCTGATGAAGTGAGCTGTAGCTCACGAAAGCTCATGCTCAGATAAATTGGTTAGTCTCTACGGTGCCACAAGTACTCCTTTTCTTTTTGCGAATACAGACTAACACGGCTGTTCCTCTGAAACCTTTCCCAAGGTCGTTCAAGAAACTTGTGATGGAGCCAGGAGTTGAACCTGCAGCTCCAAAGTCCCAGGTTAGTCAAAGGTTAGTGTCTTAACCACTGGAACACCCTTTTTCTCGAGCTAAAAAGCTCCTTAGTATAGTCAATAATTTCTCCATTTTTTCTCAAAGAAATGCACCATTTACAGTTCTCTACAAGATTTTCTGACTTGAGTCACTTTAAAACAATATAAACCTGAATAAACCATGGAAAAGCACACTAATAAACTCTGGTCCAGAGCACAACTTTGCCTGACATACTATTTTCTTGGGATCCTACATTAGAGGCCTGCTCCTACTTCTTTGGGCATTTTAGGCTCAGCACAGCTGAGGCAGGTGGACTCCCAGTCACATTTCTGCTCCCCTGAACATGGGCAGCAGAGGCAACATGCCCCTCTCAGAGCAGCCGAAGGGACTGCGGTGCTAGCTGAAGATCTGTCAGAGTGCTGCGTGCTCTGTCCCATCCCCAGCATGTCCCTTCCCCTGTTCTCTGTGGCACACCTCGGGAAGGGGAGGAGTGCCTCAGTTCCACATACAGCCTCAGTCACCGCTTTGTTATAGGGAAACCTTGGCTGCCCCATTAGAGCAACCAAAGCCTGGGTCAGGAATTTGTTATTGCCATGGTCAGTTGTGTCAGGAGTTACCTAGAGGCCCGATAGAGAAATGATTATCTGTGTGTTGATATTATTTTGGCAGGAAGTATCTGTAATGAAAACAGGAGTCTTTTCGCCTTGGAGCAGTGAGGCTTTGTCCCGAGTCCTTTGAGATCAGTGGGAGTCTTTCCTTTGGCTTCTATGGGCTTTGGACTGATCCACTGAGCACAGTTACGGTATATCAAGCCAGTGGCTAGCCAGCTAGCTCTCCAGAAAAAAAAAGACATTTTGGAAATCTCATAGAGTCACTGCCGCCCAGATTTTAAAAGGTATTTATGTGCTGTGGAGCTCAGCGTTGCAATGCCCAACTGATTTAGGAGCCTAAATCTCATTTTCAAAAGGTATTTAGGTACTATTGACAGTCAGTGGGTTTTAGGCTCCTAAGTGCCTAAATCCCTTTGACAATGAGATTTAGGTTCCTAAACCAGCTAGATGATGCAACACTGAGAGTCACAACTCCGAAATACCTTTCAAAATCTGGGTCTATTACTATAGCTACTCATTAAAGCAAAGGAATAAATGGAATTTTTCATTTATCCAAGAGTTGATCCCTGTAAGTTGTTATTTGTTTAAGTCATAGTTTATTGGGCTATGAATGCTTGATTGTATAAACACTTCTTAATTTAACAAGCCCAGCCATCCTGATAATAGATTTTATAATTACCCTAGCTGTGTTACACTGATGAAGAAGTTCCATTACACAAATAATACAGAACAACATAACTGGAAAGAAAATGTTCTCACCATTGCATCTGCTTTATGCTTCTTCCGTTTAGCTTCTTGCATAAAGTGATCTGCATTGCGTGGTCTACAAATAAGAATAAGAATATATTTTACTATTTTTGAAGTGCAAAACATTTTCAAGTTATTTTATCCCTTATTTCAAACCTGATTTGCAAACATTTTTGCAAAGAAAATATACTTAAAATGGAAACATGCATTTTGTATTTCCAGATTGCTCCCTGTGAAAACAATAGCATTTATGGCTGTTCTCGTTCTTCAGAAGTTAATAATTCAAAGAAAAAAATTAATAAAATTTGTTTTTATGGCTTATATAAACTGCTTCCCAAATTAGTGCAGTTTTGATCTTCAAAACAGACACAGGTACTAAACAGAGAAAGCAAACAGAGAAATGAAAATAAATAAATAAGGAAGAAAGTAAAGAGGTCAGATGAAAACTTTCAGATCATATTTGGACACAAGCAAATTCTCTCTCAGGTTAGAATGAAAGATGTTTTATGAAATATCCATGCAGCAGTGCTGAAAATGTGATACATTTCCTTAATTTCTGCAACCATGCGTTATAGAATATTCATTTTTAATATCTGACTGTCTCATCTGCCCACTAATCCATACTTGCCAGGACTACTTCTAATGTTCCAAATTTCTAAGCAGCTGCAGACAGGTATCATTATTTTTATATATATATAATAGTAATACATATATGCAAGCATTCAAAAGTTAAGAAATGCCAGAATTAAGGTTGCCTGGGCAACCTTAATTTGGCCCCCTTGGGCTTATGCATTAAGATACAGTTTTTTCATAATCACATACTATTTTTTCCACAGAATCCCAGCCTCATTTAGTGCATAGGTTGGACATGCTCTGGGTATGAATCAGGATTGTGTAGTAAAGGAGACTATTTGTATATGGACCCCTGCTTTATTATGTTGCAGAATCTGGAAGGTTGTCATGAATGAGGCAGGGGCTTGCAGGAAGAGAAAGGATGGTTTCATGGGTAAGGTGACTGCTGCCTGGAGAACTGGATTCTATCCCTGCCTCTGCTACAGAATCCCTGTATAATGCTGGGCAAGTCACTTAAACCAAATTTTTCACAGATGATCACTAATTGTGTGTTCCTCATTTTCTGGATGCCTTACTTGAGACCCACGGGTCTGACATTCAGAAGTGCTGAGCACTCACAGCTCCTGGTGAACTCAATGAGAGCAGTGCTTTGAACATATAAAGTGCTGCATAAGACTACATGGTCTGAAAAATCATATCATAGGTATCTCAAATTGGGCATCCTAAATGAGACGATACTTTAGACCTTGATCTCTTTGTGCCTCCGTCTTCTATCTGTATAATGGGGATAATAATATCCGGTCATCTCACAGAGGTGATGTGAAAATAAATTAATGTTTGTGAAAGCCCATGAGAAAATTAATAATTCAGTCTTCAGAACAGGGTTTGAATAATGTGCAGTAAATGGGGCATCAGCCCACACACTGAACAATAAGGATAAAACAAATATCGAACAGCTGCTCATTAAGTGAGTGCTGTCCATCCTGGCTACTGAATGCGGCAGGGGTCATATGGAAAAAATAGTATGTGATCTTGTCACTAAAGATTGCATCATAATGCATAAACACAAGTGGGCTGAATTAGATTACAAAAGCAACCTGAATTCTGGCATTTTCTATCTCTTGAGTGCTGGACTTGGCAACCTTAATAATGTTCTTTTAACATAGTTGTTGTGTGCTGCTTAGGGCTGTCAAGCAAATGTCACATGGCACAGCAGTGGGTCCAGATGCTATTCCCGCAGAGATCTTCAAGTGTGGGGCCATGAGCTGATCAGGAAGCCCACTGGTCTCTACCTAAAGTTTTGGGAACAGGAGGCTGTGCCACAGGAATTTAAAGATGTATCATTCACCTGTACAAAAGGAAAGGCAATCAGGCCTCTTGCAATAACCATTGTGGCATCTCGCTCCTTGCCACTGCAGGAAAAATACTCACCTAAACCAGCTAATTGATCAATTTGCAGAGAAGATACTGCCTGAAAGCCAAGGTGGCCTCTCCCCTGGGCATGGTACTTCAGACAAGATCTTTGCACTCCGGAAAGTTCAGGAGAAATGTTGGGAGCAGAATCAAGACCCATACGTAATTTTTGTTGATCTTACTACGGCCTTTGGCTCTGAATAGAGATGGCCTGTGGACTAGTTTGGTTGCCCTAATAGGTTCATCCACATTATTAAATCTTTTCATGCAGGAATGCAGATTTGTGTCCTTGACCAAGGCTGCCTCTCAGCTCCTTTCATTGTCACAAATGGAGCAAAAGAAGGCTGTGTTCTTGCTCTGACATTATTCAGCATCATGTTTGCAGCTGTTCTAATAGATGCATTCAGAGACATTGATTGTGGCATTTGTATGCAGTACCATATGGATGGAGGTGTCTTGAATTTGCATTGCCTGTGTATGAAGACAAAAGTTAGGCAGACAATCATTGTGAATTACTGTTCACTGATGACCGTGCTATTGGCTCACAATTTCAGGGATATTCAGTTGCTTGGGGACTGCTTTGTATGTGCAGCAAAAGGTTTTGGCTTAACGATCAGCCTAAACAAAGACAGAGGTCACGGTCCAGCCTCGACTGGAAAGTACTGCCACTACTCCAGTTGGGTCCATTGATGATATACCACTCAAGGTCACTGGCAAATTTTGCTACTCAGGCAGTGTTGTTTCACAAGACACAATAATTGATGATGACATTATGAAACACATTGGTGCAGTCAGCCATGCCTTTGGAAAACTTCAGCATCATCCCTGGAATGAATATGCTGTCCGACTGCAAACAAAAATAGATGTTTATTGCACCATGGTCATCACCACATTTCTTCATGGCTGCGATACATGGACTACTTATCAATGCCATATAAAACACTTGGACCTATTCCACCTACGATGTCTATGGCAGATAATGGGAGTTGAATGGCAAGATACGGTTCCTAACACAGTGGTCCTTGGGAGCTGCAACATCACAGGCATTGAAGCTTTTATAGGGAAAGCACAGATGAGATGGTGCAGTCATGTGGTCCGTATGTCTGACAGTAGAATATCAAAGGCCATTTTCTACGGAGAACTGCAGACTGGAACTTGTTTGGGGGTCAGATCAAGAAAATGTTACTAAAACACTCTTAAGGCCAACCTCCAATCTTGCGATATTCACCCTAACACCTGGGAGCTCTTAGAGCATGACAAGATCTGATGGCGGCCGCTCTGCCACATTGGAGAGAAAGACTTTGATAGCTCACAGACTGCCGCAATCAAGGAGAGACGTGCAAGGCACAAAGCTAAAAGCAGTGCACAATTCATCTGCAACTGTTTTCACCTGTGGCACCCGTGGACAGAGCTGCAGGTCCGGAATTGGTCTTTGGTCTTATCTCAGGACCCACAATATGTGACTGTAGCTCATCTGTCGAACTGACAACAGAAGATTCCATCATTATCTTCACTATCAAACGTGTAAAATACATTCCAACTCTCAAAACCTTCCTTAAAAATAGTTCAAGATTGCTAATTGATAACAAATATCACATACTTTACATAACCCAAGCACTTCACAGCAAGGAAATGAACAGTTAAGACCATCCTAAATCTTATACTGTCCACACAGGCACTGAGCCTACAAACACTTATACATATGCTTAACTTTACTATCTTGAGTAGTCACGCTGAAATAAATGGGGCTACTCATGATGGTCCATCATGATTGCAAAAGATGGATAGCGGTGGCTGACAATCTCTGGATTGACGACATCACTGAAGAAGACTCATGATGGTAGTAAAGTAAAACGTGCGTAAGTGTTTTCAGGATCAGGGTCATAATAAGCAAATAATAATGATAATTTCTTTCAAGTATAAAGAAATGCATATTTCATCACAACACAATACCATTACTCAGATCCATGGATTGCTAGATTGTTGTTTCTCTTCATGTATCATTTTTATTATCTTGATTTTAGTATCCAAATAGCTTCTTTAAAGTAAATAAAGTCCATTTATCCATGTCTGAATACTGGTGAAATCATAGCAGAATTTTTGGAAACCTTCTTGATCCATTGATCACTTTGCACACTCAATAGCTGACTTCCCAGTAAACTGCTGCACACCACCTATCAGTTGCTCGCTGGCCATCCCCTACTTTGATGACCCCCCACCATTCTTTCCATGGTAACTTTTGTGAAGTTATTTCCATTTCTATGCCTGATGTGACCAAAGTACATTAGTTTGTGCCCATGGATTTCTAAGAGCAGAGGTTGCGTCTCTCTAATAATATTTCTAACATAAGCATCCATCTTCTTTTCCGTCCAGGAAAGACGCAAGCACCACATCTCAAAGGCTTCAATTTTCCTTCTTTTCAGCAGCATTAGTTTCAACATATCTGAGGTCAGTTAAGAGGTGTTCAGCAACCCCCCCACCCCCGCCTCCATTCATTCCAGTTTAACAAAACCCTCCAGGGCTCGTCTCATAATAAATTCTGTCCCCATATTGAAAAGCCATGGGGACAGAGTGCACCCTCGTCTCAGACCCTGCCCAGTGGAAAACTGTTGCCCACTATTGCTTGCACCCTGGTTGACACTAGAGGTTTGCAGTGGGTTCAATGAGATGTTTTGGAATCCACCACGTCTGCTTGTATCCTCCAGAGACAGTCACGTCAGATGGTATCAAATGCTTTGGAGTAGTCAATGAAGCACATGATCAGTGGGTGACTGTATTCCCTGCATTTTTCAATAATATGGCAGACATTCATGATTTGATCATGTCTGTCTCATCAAAACCAGCTTGTTATGGTGGTAGTTATGCTTATGGCTAAGATTATGTCATGGAAGTCACGGATTCTGTGACTTCCAGAGACCTCCGTGACATTTTTCCACTTTAGCCCCGAGGCAGTGGGGCTAGAGCTGTCAGCTGGCAGGGCCCTGCAGCTCCCAGCGGCCACGGGCAGGGGAGGGGGAACCTGAGCTCCCAGCCGCTGTGGGCGGCAGGGCGATGCCGGTGTTCCTAGCCACGGTGGATGGTGGGGGGGAC